AAACTCTCAAAGTCCCGTCGTGGCTAGCAGACGTCGGCATTTAGCTGCTAAAAATTTTGCCGAATGCAAGAATAAAATCATATTGACTGCTGTCCAGTGAATTTTCGAGCTTTCTTAACGTGTTCTGCTTTAACTACTTTCACGTTAACTAGAGCGGTGCTTTCTTGAGGCTCTGACTGGGGGAATGCTTCTCACTGCCTCTCAAACAGGAGCTCGCAAACGGTGAGCTGCCCGGTGAGGAGCAAGTGGCACCTGCGCCCCGTTGATGGCGCCCCCTTCCCCAAGGATGGCGTGCACTACGCACTGTGGCTCATGGGGAAGCTGCGTATGAGAGTGCGGGCACTGCACAGTGCGCGCCAGCAGCTCTGCACCCTGCTGCACCGTGTACACTCCACATGCAGGCAGCCACACCAACCTGGCAAACACCTCTCCGGCACCGAGGCATACCTGCTGAGACACCCGAATAGACTGACGCAGGTGAGACCAGTCACGTGGACTCGCACAGATTTACAAGCACACAGATTTACACAGGTATGGCCTGTCTTGCATGGATTCACACAGGCTCATACTGGCTCTCACAGATTTACACAGACTGATACAGGCCCACACAATCTCACACAGGCTCACAGACTTGCACAAGTCTGACATTGACTCATATGGGTACGGTCAAGCCTGGAACCAGGGCTTTGCAACCAGGGACCCATAACTAGGAATCTAACACAGGGAAATGAATCGCAGACACAGGACAATAAATATGAGATGTAAAAAACTTACCATTAAACTTTGTTAAAAGAAACAATTGTAACTCATCACCTTTTCACCACCAACTCCCTGACCTTGCCTGGTTTCTGCTATGTGCAGGTGTAATCTCTATGGTCATTGACGGAGGGAGTGGTTTATGGGACAGTGTCTCATTGCCCAGGTCCTACAGCAGCTTGGAGAGGAAAATGCCAGACTGGAGGCCTTCATTGAGTGGAGGAATATGGAGCCTGCTTTCTGGCAGTGGATGGTGAGCATGACACCAGCTGTAGTGACACATCAGGGCACAATATGTTTTCTGAGTGAGCGCCTAGAAACCTTGTGTAGAGTGTCCTGTGTGACCTGAGTTCTATTTCAATTATGGCTACCATCAGTGGTGATATCTGAACTGGTGCTGGTGTTCCCCTTCACCAACCCACACTAACCAGCATCGTGTAGTATGGCTAAACAATCATGACTGAAACGGCATGGGGAGACCTTTATTGAGCAGTGGACTGATAAGAGGCTCTAACATTTTTTAGTAATATGCATTTGTGGACTTTTCGGCTAATGTAACAAACATGACAGACAAAGCAGATTGATAAATGAACATAACAGTTCATTTTAAAGGAACACACATTACAAATTAAATATCATATATAGGTGTTAAAAAACTCTATAAATGTCATCGTGGCCAAAGCTGTTGATGCCACCAGACCTCACCAAAACTTTCTGCCTTTTGCCAGATCCCGCAGCTGCTGCACAGTAGACACATGACCTCCAAAATCTTCCCTAACAGTCACCTATTATAGGGCCTTAGACTTATAGAATAACAGAGGCCCATAGACTTACACAAACACTCATAGTTGTGCCCTAATTGTCTATTTCCACCATCTGCTCTTAGGTCTCCCTCTTGGTCGCAGGACTTGTGGAGACAACTCCAATGCCTGTCTCTGCGATTGGCCCACACACTGTGCACACGTCCTACTCAGCACAACCATTTTTTTGTCTAATCACATTTAAGAAAGACAAGATGCAAGAATCAAATGTTGACCTTGAATGACATAAGCCACTTTGTTGAGCTATAATTTGTGTCCAGGTAGCTTCTGAAAAAGAGTGAATGGTAAACAAAAATAGTTTTATAAAAGAGTTGTACGGATTCACGGAATTTTGGAGAGAACGAAAATTACCACATACCATCTATAATGGTTGCTGTGCTGTGCTGATTTCTAGGAGAGTGTTGTGGAAGTGAAGCTGATTCAGCAAGAGCATCGGGGTCGTTGCCCCAGCTCAGCTGTGCCATGTCACCGGGGGACGGAGGGGGTGCAGGACATGTCCCTCGATTCTCGGCTCGGCTCGGTGGGCAAGAGTCTCGCGAGGATTGAAAGGGACGTGCACTGCGCGCTATGTCGCAGTCACGCTACGTGGCTCAGTGAGGTGCGGCACGACCCCACGGCACTGTCATGGTCTTGCATAACGGAGTTAGGGGTTAGTAGGGTCGCCGGAATGTGACAATACGATACACCATATAATACAAGATCCACTATAATCTGCGTATCGTCCGTTTTACTGAATGTCGCATCGTGACCATCATGGGTCATTTTATTTTTCTACAATCTTATTTCTTGACAAAATATTAAATGATAATTAGATCTCTAAATAAATAGTTCCATTTAAACTCGTGCTTTGAAAAATAGTTTTCTTTTTATTACACGCTTTTATTTAACTCGCTCCGTCTGTTGTCGTATCCTTAAAAAATATTGTAACTCAATTTTTACCCACTTCCCAATGTGCTATCGACTGCAAACTTGGTATACTTATGTCATACTGATGAGAAGACTATATTCTATTATAAAAAATAAATATGTTTAAACATTTTACACGCTTTTATTTAACTCTGTCTGTTGTCGTATCCTCAAATCTTGTAACTCAATTTCAACCGTCTTCTTAATGCCGTATTGACTGCAAACTTGGTATAGCTATGTCATACTGATGACAATACTATATTCTATCATTACACATTTTAAATATATATTTTTAAACATTTAACACGCTTTTATTTAACTCACTGTCTGCTGTCATATCCTCAAATCTTGTAACTCTATTTCAACCGTCTTCCCAATGTCCTATCGACTGAAAACTTGGTATAGGTATGTCATACTGATGACAATACTATATTCTATCATTTAAAATAAAAAAAATATTTTTAAACAATCTTTTTTACGGCTCTAATTGTCCACGCTCAACTCACATTGCCTCTAAATCACCACGGTCCCTTACACTGTGGCAAGCTGCGGGGCCACTTCCTGGAGTCGTGGAGTTCTGCCATTACGAGTACGGTACATTTCATTAAAGCGTGTTTAAAAAAAGTATTTTTGAATATTTTATTTTAAACTAGCTTTACTACCCGGCTTCGCCCGGGAACTTGGATTCACCACGCCCGGCCGCCTTGTCTCCCCAGTGACGATGTTCACACACCACACCAGTTACTCGTTTGAGGCTGAGTCGACCTAGGGGAGGCCCAGGTCCGGTTCAAATAATCGTCACCAGTGGTGGCCGTGAGTGGGAATCGAACTCGGGTCGCCGGGTTCGTAGCGTGGCGCGCTAACCACGACACTACAATGCGTTACGCTTCCGTTGTAGGATTTGTGTGAGGCGCGCCGATCCGCTGTAGGGTTTTAGTGAGGCGCGCCGATCCGTTGTAGGGTTTGTGTGAGGCGTGCCGATCTGTTATAGGGTTTTAGTGAGGCGCGCCGATCCGTTGTAGGGTTTTAGTGATGCGCGCCGATCCGTTGTAGGGTTTTAGTGAGGCGCGCCGATCCGTTGTAGGGTTTTAGTGACGTGCGCCGATCCCCCGCGATACAATAATACTGTGTAATCACTATAATTTTATGATTTACCGAGCCTATAATAGTAATCTCACACATTGTGGTGGCGGGGGAGTGAAGAGGACGTGTAACTTTGATGAATTTACCTCAGAGTCGCGGGGTGGGTGTCGAGGCCTAGCACCGTGCAGAGCCTCCGGCCTCGCCTGATTTTCCCACCCGGTTGAGGCTGGGTACGGGTGCGGTCCCCCCCCCCCCCCCCGCGCTGCAATAATACTGTCTAATCGCTATAATTTAATAATCGACCGACCCTATAATAGTAATTGCACACATTGTGGTGGGGGGGGAGTGAAGAGGACGTGAAACTTTGATGAATTTACCTCAGAGTCGCGTGTTAATGCGTGCGCCTATTTTTAACGGGAATAAAAAATGGCGTCCACCCCGCGGCGAAGGCGTCGCTACCCGTTGGCAGGGGCAACCGCCGTCCAATGAAAGCGGCGAAGGCGTCGCTACCCGTTGCCAGGGGCAACCGCCGTCCAATGAAAGTGCGTATGGTCCGGCGACACACAGACACACAGACAGACAGATTCACGATTTTATATATATAGATGCAGTTTCTGAGCACATGGCAAAATAGCCAAATCATTAAGCGGCTAGCAACAAACAGCACTATCAAAGTAGTAATAGATAACAGTTAACACTTGTTTTTATCAGCATGGCAATTATGTAATGTTGTTATTCTTGCATTTTATACAAATAATTAATTCACTATTGTTTAACTTTGGAGTATGTGTAGATTGTAAAGTTGCAGTGATTACAATAATTATGGCAGGCTTGTTGATTGAACAGCATTTAACTATTAGTAATTTTAATTTCTACTGATACTTTTTATTCTCAAGTACTGCAAAACACAAAATTTATAGTACACATGTTAAATACAGTTGCAGAGTTGAGGGAAACTGATATCCTGATTATCGTTTTATCATGAAAATTTATATTGTAACTAGCGTATTGTGAAAAATGACATTACGGGAATCCCAGGGATTAGTAAGGAATGTCCGGGATCTCACACGACCATACATACATTACACCAGCGATGCGTTACCGATTTCGTGGATTAATCATGAATATAGGAAAATTTGAGCAACACATTGTATATGATTTGAGATGCAATTTTCATGAATGGCACTATATATTGTCATAAAAGCACACTTCAGATATAAACACACCTGGTCCTACTCACAAGGAGTGTCATTATATCCATCTGTATATGTTCTTACATGATATTACGGAGTTTCCCATAATATCGTGCTGCCTGTTTACTCGTTCTGTTCCGCTCTGCATCTGTTATTGGCATAACTACTTCACCCGCTGCAGTGCGGCTCTGCACCATCAGCTGTGCGAGATCTCGCCGAGTCAGCACAGCAGGAGGCGAGCATGGTGGTGCGATCTCTGCAGGCTCCAGCCCAGCGGCTCGCTGCCACCTTGCTGCTTCTGCACCTGCCCTTCCACCTACATCTGAAGCAGCAGCAGAGGCAGCACCGGGGCGGGCACCAGCAGGAGAGAGAAAGCGGCGCGGTGGGGACGCCAGAGTTGGCGCTGTGGGAGGCAACGCGCGAGCTGGGCGGGCATCTCGCCCGCCTGCGTGCCTCGCTGAGGCGGCAGCAGCAGCACGGGCGTTGGCGGGCGAGGCTGGAGGCCATGCTGGACGGCAAGGAGAGCATCGTGTGCCTCCCGCCGCCCCACTCACACCACCGGTAAGGTGGCTGGTACTGCTGTCGACGAGAAGATGGACTCGGACTCATTGTTTCTACAGAGCCACGACGCCGGTGTAGTGGATTTCACTATTACGATGAAAAGGAAGTGAAATTTCACGGTTAAAATCCTACATGAAAAGCTCCATTCGTGCCCTCCTATGCTGCATTGGGGGACAAAGTGATTGCCAGAATTTAGTAATATTTTGAATTCTAAGGGTTCAGTATTCCAAACTTTAGATCATTTAGTAAACCACTGTATAATACAGGTTTTTTGGGGTTGGCGTAAATATTTAAATGTGTCGTTAAACCCGCCACCACCCGACACAGCCAACTAGTAAGGTTTGTCACTTAAACAGAACGTGGCCAATTCGTCACTAGTGCAGCACTAACCGGTGTGTTGGAGAGCCAAGCCACAACATTTACAATCTGAGTACGACGTTTCACCAGTAATTACAACTAGCTTTATCAGGCGACAGCCACATTTGGCTTGGCTCTCCAACACACCGGTGTGCTGTACGTGTAACGAATTGACATGTTCTGCTGAGAATAAATAAGGGGGAGATGTACACCTCCATTTCCGCTGCACTGCTGTTTGGACGTAGCATGTGGACGTAGGCAATGTGAAACTAAATCAGAACCACAGACTAAAGACCTCCATATTCATGGTTCTTTCAGTGAGGTGTCACGATCAGAGATAACTATTCAATTCAAGTCTTTTGCACTACCACCTTAGTTAAATGCCAAATTTATTTTTCCTTCCCGGTCCTCCTTGACTGCTGTTTAGGGACGTCATCTGCACATCCACTCTATATTCTATCAAATCCTCGCTCGCCCCTTACAACCAAAATAAATGGAAAATAAACCATGTGTATATTTCTGACACGTTTAATTATATGCGAGTTTAAGAAACGTATTTTATTCAGCTTATTAATTTCTGTATGAAAATTCCATGTTGCCAGCAGCGATTCGCCGACTTTTGAATGTGGAATCGATCCAATCCGCACGTCGCAATACAGATTCTGGTACAGTATAAGAAACGATCCGATCCGTAGGTTCGCGATTCAGACGAGTAGAATCGATCTACGATCATTATCAGTCGCGTTGGAATCCGTTCTTGACTGGTGTCTGTGATGTGAGTGTTTTCTTGTCGCGGAACTTTTGCCTCTGCGCCAATTTTTCAATATATATAACCGCAGAATTTCCCGTATCGCCGCAATGACCGCTTGTCACGACTTGCGCCGGGTTTCCTATCTTCGAGATCGGGGAGAGCGAGCGGCTAGGCCCAAGCCTCGGCCTTTCTACAAAAAATCATTCGGCCGCGGAGCCCGAGCCCGCAGCCGATCGCGGTTCGACTTCGTGATGTACCGGTTATTTTTTATAATACAAAAAGGTGTATTTTTAATACGTAAATAAGTAGTGATTAGACTTCCGCTTTGATATATATGACATCCGTAGTGCGGATCAGCATAGTTTAGATAGGTACGTGGCGTAGTGTATATATGCGATTAGAATTGCCCAGACAAGTATATACATTTAGGATGTATAGTCTAAATAAGTGTATTTGACTTGAATAGTATACATACAGATACTTAACACTGCATGGATTACATGGCGAACATCGTAATGGTCTACCCGCTGCCGAGTGTTGTGGCTGGGTGAGAGAGTGGGGTGGTGAGTTGAGTGGATGGGACAATGAGTTGGTGGTTGTCTTTTTTAAATCCTTTATATTAAGTTCACTTGCTTGCTTGCGCGCTTACGACCGTGCAAATCTTTCGGTCGTTTTTTAACCCACTTCCCGTGATCCAATCGAGCTGACATTTTGCACACAGAATCGTTGTGGATGACAATTTATTTTCGTGAAAAATTTTTTCCTAAATTTTCCACTTTTTAGGAAAAAGAAAATTTAATATTTAATTTAAAATACCAATGTGATAAAAATGAAACTCTTACTCAAGAAAAACAGAAATGAATAATAAAATAAAACCGATGCCACGCATATAAAGGATTTATAGTGAAAAACTTTTGTTTTTATGGGTTAATTTTTCTGTGTAAGTTTGCACGTATAGGTTTCCATAGGTGTGCGTTTAATTGTTACACGGATTATCCCATTTAGCACAGCGACGTCTAAACAATACAAACAAGTAAACCCGTAAAAACAAAGTTTTTCACTATAAATCCTTTATATGCGTGGCATCGGGGCGGCAAGAGTCCTCTCGTCCTCTGGCTTGAGATGGCTGCCAACTATGGGTCAGATGATTGGCAGCATTAAACAAGCGGTAATTGAATATTTATTTATTTTTCCCTAAACAGTGTAAAATTTAGGATTTTTTTTCAAGAAAATGCATTGTCACGCACAACGAGTCTGTGTGCAAAATGTCAGCTCGATTAGATCACGGGAAGTGGGTTAAAAAACGACCGAAAGATTTGCACGGTCCTAAGCAAGCAAGCGAACTTAATATAAAGGATTTAAAAACATCAATATTGCAGAGAACAAGTACAGGGTCCGAGGGATGTTGCACAACTATCACACGAGGTATTTAACGGTCGTAAACGATACACGCAAATAAAACTGCAACTATATTAGAGGAAGGGAAGCTAGAATAAGTAATATAAAAAAAACTTTTTAAAAACACGCTTTCATGAAATGTACGAGTAATGGAAGAACTCGACGACTCCAGGAAGTGGCCCCGAGGCTTGCCATAGCGTAAGGGACCGTGGTGATTTACATCCAACGTGAGTTGAGCGTGGACAATGAGAGCCAAGCCGAACATCTCTTTATCTCCATCTCCATATATATATAAAAGGCAAAGTTGTGATTATGTGTGTCTGTTCAAAATATTTAGCGTACTTCCCGACAGGCTTTTGTATTTTTTTTAGGGGGGGGGGGGCTCAATAATGAAAATTATTTTGCACGGAAGTGAGCTGTGACGTCACATCTGTCATGTGACCCGCGCGTGTGGAAGCGTAACGCATTGTAGTGTCGTGGTTAGCGCTACGCTGCGTTACGAACCTGGCGACCCGAGTTCGATTCCCGCTCACGGCCACCACCGGTGACGATTATTTGAACCGGTCCTGGGCCTCCCCTAGGTCGACTCGGCCTCAAACAAGTAACTGGTGTGGTGTGTGAACATCGCCACTGGGGAGACAAAGGCGGCCGGGCGTGGTAAATCCAAGTCCCGGGTGAAGCCAGGTAGTAAAGCTAGTAACATATAAAAAATAATGTTTTAAAATATATTTTTATGATAGAATATAGTATTGGCATCAGTCTGACATAAGTATACCAAGTTTGCAGTCGATACCACATTGGGAAGTGGGTTACAAGATTTGAGGATACAACAACGACAACAACAACAGACAGTTAAATAAAAGTGTGTAAAAAGGGACATAAAGAGGGAGTGTGAAAGGAGGGAACCAAGCTATGGATGAGCAGCAAGGGTATTCCAGGAATGAGGAGCAACAACGCCAAAACATTTTTTTATTACTAAAGTTTTAGCATGTGCAATTTCTAGTCGATAGAAGGCATTTCTGAATATCGGGGATAGATTCTAGATTTGAAGCTTTCGTTACTGCAAGGATTCATACTCTTAGGTTTTTTCGGTAAAGCCACCGAAAAAACCTAAGAGTACCGAAAAAACATAAGAGTATCGGGAATAGAGTTAGAGGAACTATTAATTTAGGTTATTGGAAGATTAGTCATGGTGTCTCTGGATGTCCAGGATGGACAGATTTGAGTTAATGTACATGTTGCAATGATGAGTTCTAGATTCACACGCTAGGTGGTAGATGGTATCACAATAATAAAATATGGGCAGAATAAATTGTGTGAGTGCAGTGTGTGTATCGTGTCTGTTAGTATACTATGTGGGAGTAAACTGTGTTGTGTGTGATTGCATAGTTGGTGAGAGTGTAAATTCTTTGTTGTGTATGAATGTGCTGTGTACAGAAATACCTCGGTTTACTTCTGGGATGCGTTCCGGAAATGTGCGACGAATATCGAAAAAACGTAAATCAAAGTAATTTACAGGATAGGTAGAGGCGAAGGCTGAGGGACGAAGATGAGAAAGGACAGATGCTGTCAGCAACGTAAGTGTTGGTTGAGGCAATGCAAATGAGGTAGTGGTATTAATACATTGACGACGTATTTTGCGAAATGATGTAAAAGATAGAAAATAATAATCGGGGTATTCCTGTATTTGCAAAGTGCAGAACACACTGCCATTATATGTTGTGCCGATTCCCATTAGTGCGAAATAATTGCAGCACTTGGCCTAAAAGCCGATGTAACTTATTAGGGGATATTTTGTGTTTTTGTGCGAATGTTTACGTGCGTATGTTTACGTGCGTATGTTTACGTGCGTCTGTATGAGTATACTTTGGAGAGCAGTCGTGTATGTTGAACTTCTTTCACACCGTATGTAGCCAACCATGTTAATCGGAGGTGCGGTGGAAGGACAACAAAAAGTGTAATGGATTGCGCGCTGCTCTATAATCCTGGCCACCCATGTTCGGTTCCTGCTCATGACCAACTCTGACGAATATCTGAACTGATCCAGAGCCTCCCCTAGGTCGACTCACCCTTAAATGTGTAGCTGGTGCAGTGTGTAAACATCAGCACTGGGAGACAAAGGTAGCCGGGCGTGGTGCTGACCACCCACTCCCTTGTGCGCCATTCCGGCCTTCATAGGTGCTTGCTAAAAAACTTGCCATAACAGTATCTTACAGGCTATTTGGAGAATCTTTGTTCATATATGTGTGCATACCCGTGCATGTTTGTGCCTTATGTTGATGGAGGTTGAGTGGATATTGCTGTTTTCTGTCTGCAGCTACCAGTGCCTCTGCTCTGCAGGATCAATGACATGGAGCAGAGACACCCGGCGCAATCCGGCACTAAGAGACACAAATTCTAGATTTGAAGCTTTCGTGACTGCAAGGATTCATATTCTTAGGTTATTTCGGTAAAGTCACGTAGGTAAAACATTAAAATTAATGAAAGTAAAATAAAATAAAAATCACGACGTTTCGGAGGCAACACAAGTCTCCGTCATCAGGTGGGACCGTCACAGCCAGATTTGCTGCATCAAGTGAGGCAATGATTCAAGATGTAATCCCTTAAAAGCAAGTTGAGGGGGAAGGAGAGGGGGAGGGAGCTTATCAGAATGTGGTAGCCAATGAATGGAACGTATCGGGAGGGAGGGGGGCGGGGCTCAAAGACGGCACGACGTGCCACGTAGAACGCATCGGGAGGGGGCGGGGCCAAAAGAATGCACGACGTGGTACAAGTCGGCGGCGTTGACATGGTTGTGCGCAAGCAACTACTGCTGCACACGCCAACGCATTGGACAGAGAGGGGGAGGGGAGGCCAAAAGAGAGTGTGGTGCAAGTGTACGTGGACATGTGTGTGTACAAGCACCTGTTGATACACATGATAGAAAATAACGAAAATGCCCATGTTTATACCAGTGCTGGCTGAACAATGAAGAGAGTACTGTTAAACACTGGGGATGTTAACACTCGGTAAAGTAAAGTAAAATAGTGCCTGTCAGATAAGATGGTCCAAAAATGTGTAATTAAGTCTTTTTTGCGTGGTTGATAACATCTTTCCAATGATTACTAAGTTTGTACCCATCATCACGGTTTAAATTATGTCTGTGTTTTTATATTTGTATGGCTTCGTGTACAAACGTTTGATGGTAGCCAGGAGGTTTGCAGAGAACCTTGGTCTCGGAAAAGACAATTTCATGAGAGCCCACCAAGTTGTAGCAATGATCGGCAACGGCCAGTGTTCATATAGCACGGATCACTCTGGCAACATGAAGAATCACCAGCGAACACACACGGGCGAGAAACCATTTCAATGCACTGTGTGTGGGAAGGCATTTTCACAGCCATCAGCTCTTCACAATCACCAGAGAACACACACAGGAGAGAAGCCCTTCAAGTGCACTGTGTGTGGGAAGGAATTTGCACGGTTATCACATCTTCACAGACACCAGAGTACACGCACGGATGAGAAGCGCTTCGAGTGCACTGTGTGTGGGAAGGCATTTACACGATCAGGAGATCTTCGCAGACACGAGAAAACACACAGGCAAGAAGTTATTGAAGTGCACTGTGGATGGGGAGGCATTTACACAGTCATATATTCACAATCAGCAGAAAATGTACACGGGTGAGAAGCCATTCAAGTGCACTCTGTGTGGGAAGACATATACACGGTCAACACTTCTACACAATCACCAGAGACAACACACAGGAGTGAAACCTTTCAAGTGCACCAAGTGTGGGAAGGCATTTACAATGTCAGAAAATCTTCACAGGCACCAGAAAACACACAGGTGAGAAGCCATTTAAGTGCACTGTGTGTGGGGAGGCATTTGCATGGTCATCGGTCCGAAACAAGCATCAGAAGATCCACAAAGAGAGGAAGGTGAAATCGAAATGTAAAAGTCAAGGTTGTGCAATGACCTCATCTTTTGTAAAACAACTAGAAGAAATTACCAGCTTCATAACCTGGCCAGGCGTGGAGGTGAAATGTTAAGATGATTTGACTGTTGTGAAAAAAGAGCCAGAAGAACATTCCAGCTTCTCAACCTAGCCAGGAGTGGAGGTAAAATGTGAAGATGATTCAACTCGTGAAAAAAGAAACCGAAAATAATTCAAGCCTCACAAACTGGCAAGGAGTGGAGGTGAAATATGAAGAAGTTTAGACTCCCAAAAGAAAACGTTGAGAAGGCGTCACTGCAGATTTTGACAATTCAATCCAGCCGTATAGCCTGGCAGCTCCTTTGGAACCTAGGTACCTCAAAACGAACAGCACAGATCGCAAAAGATCAGCGAATGCTGCCTTCCGAGATGCTGTCCTGCTCAAAAGCATCGATGGACAAGCTCGCCAAACAAGCTGTATGGAAACACCTCACCCATCACCTTCAGCCAACTGCAAGCAACAAATCCAGCCAACTATCACAATGAGTGGAAGCAGGCCTCAGGGCCATAACATCCAACAAGGCTCTGGGATATGATGGTTTGGGTCCTGAAATCCAAAAGAACCTGGGACTTGGGATAGCAATGGTTTGCAAACCTCTTCACCATCGTACACAGGACAGGCAAAGTTCCAAAAGCATGGAAGCCAAAGTCATGGCCATCCTAAAACCTGGAAAGCCGCAATAATTGCCCTCCAGCTACAGGCCAGTATCCCTCTTGTCCACCTCTAAGCTGAGAGTGCTTGCCAAACTTTCCCCCATTATCGGTGAATGTGTGTTTTTTGTCGACTATGCACGAGCATTAACATCAAGTGATTCGTTACATGACGAGGTGTCGCCCTCTGGCGGACATGCGGTACCAGCACCGCCGTATGTTAAGAGGTCTGGTTAACTTGTGAATGCCATTTTACTGCCCTACATTCCTGACAAAAGTCTGAAAAATAAAATATTCAATATTGCTATGAAACTACATTAAATGAAACTAGAAGAATATGGTTTGTCTGAATAGTCATAAAGGTATGTTTTCAGTGACAGCCTGTCCTGCCGGCTGAACTATCAGTTAAAATGTGAGGCAAGTGGCCTGTCTTTTTTTCTCGTCATCACAGATCAAGACAAGGCCACGGACCGACATGTAACGGGAGCTCTTGAGTTTATGGGTTTGGGTGCTAGTCTGTGGTTCTCTCTTGAGTATCTGAGTTTCTAAGTTTATGGGTTTCTGTATGAGTATATTGGATCTGTTTCAGTCTGGGTCTCCATTAATCTGTGGGTCTGTGTCTGGATCTGTATGGGTTAGAGTGAGCTGTTCTGTGGTTACAAGTCACCCTCTGGTGGACATGTGTACTGGACATCTCTGAAAAAGCTTTATAGCGCATTGGATTCCTCCGTATAAATATTCTGATTCTACTACACAATAAACGGGGCTAGTTGCGCTTTTATGTAAATGCACATCTACAACTACTAAAATAACTGTACATGTGAGGATAAATCCTATTCCAATGGTGACTTTGTGTAAAGGCTCTCATAGGCATAAATTCGCAGTGCACACCGGGAGCTGAACACAAACGCCTCAAGGTAGGCATGGGGGAGTCAGAATTAGTTTAGTTCCCCAGCAAAGCCCATTCAGCGAAGACGTTTTTTTCAATAGAGACTTAGCCAGGATAATTCACGTTTATATTGAGGTTTGAGTTGGGGGCTAGGTTTAGAGGGTTGGGTTTAAGGTTAGGGGGTTCGGTTGTGTTGGGGAAGACAAGTGTGGATTATGGGTTAGGTTTAAGAGTAGTACTGGCCACCAAGCGGAGTCACAAAACCATCATGCAAACTCCGGTCATCGCACCAACTTTTGCAAGCCATTGAACAAAGATGGTCACCGCATCGCACGCTTTCAGATTCGCTTCTGCGGCCGTAAGGAATGCTCTTCCAATATTAGGAAGCCACTGGAGCTATGCACTTTTAAATCTAAACTGAAAACTCATTGCTTTAAAGCAGTTTTTTGTGTAAGTTGTCCTTCCCCCGCATCTCCCAATTAGCTCGGCTGTCTATGGTGCGAAAGAAGTTCAACATACAATGTAATGTATAACTTGTAATACTGCATATGGCCACCATTGGGCAGTACGTAGCCATGTACAGGGTGCTTCAATTTTTTTGTTAACACTTATATGGGATTTGAGGTTTTCGTGACTGCAGGGATCCATACTCTTTAGTTCTTTCGGTAAAGTCACGTAGGTATAAATTAAATCACGACGTTTCGGGCGCAACAAGCGTCCGTCATTCCCCTTACCCCACACCCCCACCCTCTTATCTCTCCCTGGCTCCTCCCCCCATCTCTTACCTCTATAGCCTCTTGTCACGGCACTCCTTTTGCCCACTTCAGCGATTGGTTCTTGCTGTGATTGTCCCACCTGATGACGAACACTTGTGTTGCGCCCGAAACGTGATTTATTTAATTGTATACCTACGTGACTTTACCGAAAGAACCAAAGAGTACTAACATCGTTTTTAATGGAAAAATAACGGATAATACACTGTAACATGATAACAAATGTATGTTAATAGCTTCAAAAAGTCAAAGAGTCTCCACTTGTTCGACATCATTGTCAACTTCTTGGTTCTTTCGGTAAAGTCACGTAGAAGGGAAATAATAAAAATAAAACATAAAATAATTCTCACGACGTTTCGGCCACAACGCAAGCAGCCGTCCTCAGGTGAAGAACAGGTCTATCGGAAAGACAGCGTCTGAATGAAACACCACCAGGCTTGGAGCGTATATTTAAGCTGGGTTGGAGGGGGAAGAGCGCCTTGACAAAATAATTTGCATATCAAGAGGACTTTAGCATATTTATGGGAAATGCAGATATGGGATTAGTCATTACTTGTGGAATGCGTAGGAGGTGGGCGGGGGGTTTCAAAGTCATAATATGCCCGTGCATTATGCAGGATTAGCAGCATCAAAGGGAGGGAGTAAGGTTAGCATTAATAAAGGGAAGGAATGTTAATAGTATGGAGCTGCAGCGACTAATATGCTTATAGACTATACATTGTAATATTACACTATTATTCTACCCACCCTGCTGTATATTCACTTTACAATTACGATACTATAACCTTATACATTGTATTAAACATTACACTTTTATACTATTTATTATTATACAATCTGCTATACACTATACCATTGACCGTCGCGTGAAAGGTACTAAGAGGAAGCAACGAAATATGTCAATGGGAGAGTGGTGGTAGGAGACTTGCAGCGGAGCAAAGAATCCATTCCCTGCGGAGAATAAAATATATATAGTCAACTAGCGGAAGTACCCGGCTTTGCCCGGTTGAAAAATATATTTCTTAAAAACCTTACATATATACACAGATACTAAGGTATTGTCAAAGCCCGGTGGGCTGTTTGTACATTTCTCCACCAACAAATATATAAGAGGCTTTCACAAGTCCAAAAAGTTGTAGAAAGTGTAGGGTAAATAGTTGATGTCAAAATGTTTCCGAAAATTGTGGTCTCCCCCCCCCCCCCCCCCTCAAAAAATATCTTTACCCCTCGTAGGTATATATACTAACAACAC